CCCCCCAAAATGGGAATGCAAAGACAGAATTAATTCTTTAGGTACTAATAAAACCCTATGAATGAAGACAAATTGCTACTGAAACAGTTTCAGTAGATATCCTTCCATAGAGTGGATTTCAAACCATAGCTGAAATCAATCCATGTTATGCATTTTTAAAATGCACAAAATCTCTTATACAACTGATTGCAGTTCACCTTTTCCAGTCATGAATTTCTCCATGAACTCCTCCCAGGTTCCTGGGTCAGGCATTCCTTTATTCATCCTGTGGAAATGGTAGTATGACACCAAGTTGTCTTTTGCATTTCTCGCCACATAGATTATCTTCATTGATATGAAAAGAGAGAGAGAGAAAATTAACTTACATGTGCTTATATAGATACTGAGCATCTCCTGGAATTTTCTTCTGGAGCTTGATGACAGAGGCTTAAGAAATTTTGCTCTGAAACTGCCGTTTTCTGAAACCCAACTCAGCTAACTTAGTCATGACTTCTGTAGTTTCGCACAGGCTTTGCACATTAAAGGGAAAATATCTGGGGGGGACCTTTAGGTTTCACAAAGATCCTGGAAACCATATTCATATTACGTCACTTTCCTTGCAGGTGAAATAGAATTGAGTCTTACCTCTTCAGCCTTACCTTACAATTTTGTTCCCAGAAGGAGGGAGGCACCAGCTGCACAGGGAGATGAGTTTTTATTGTTCTTGGAGAAGGCATAGCTTCCGCTAACTCCAGGCCTGTGGGATGTTTCATCATGAGATGTGACTTTTTCTCTAAATTGCACTAGCTGTTCTCATACGTAGGATTTTACTGCAACTTCTCAGCAGTTTACCTTGCAATGATCATCCATCTCCAAAGCAATTACGTAGCAGTGTGACATATACAGCATTACATAAACACCTTCAGTGTTTCTAGATAAATTTTTATCTATGTATTCAAGGAGGAAGGGGGGAACACTGATTCATATCCTCTTCTTGCTTTCTTGGGACCATGTCTAACCTCTGCATTCCAAGGGATAATGATGAAGAAATATTTTTATTCTTTCTGGGATACGAGAAGAGTAGGCTCACCGACTAGACTTTCTGGATAGGATGTTAAGAGAAACTAGGAGAATGTTGGACAGTGGATTTTGAGTAGCTTTGGATATATGTGAATACTTGGGGATATCTGGTGACATGTGGGGATGTGGTATCCCCTTCCCCCCTCATGACCTCTATAATTTTTTTTCCTATCATCCTCATCGTATTTAGTCTCTCTCTCTGTCATCACAGACTAGCTTAGAAGAGAAAAAGTAGCACTTCTCCTGAGGAGTTAGTTGAGCTTTTTCACTTCAAATGTGAAGAGAGTCTGGCTTAAGGATTTGTGTGGGACAGGAGCCCTTGCTGGGGGAAGACTCTTGTAGGAAACTGTCTTTGCAGAACAGTCAACAGCCTGTAGGTTGCCTGAATTTAACAGTTGCTACTCAAAACTGTAGCAAACCCACTGAAAACATTATCCACCTTTTTGGGAATACATTAATGATGTAAGTTTCTCTTCCGTACAGCCCTTAATCAGAAAATGGGATTCAACTGCACCCACGTTGCCATTTTACGCATATCGGCTGCTGTTTTAGATACTGTGGAATGTCGCACAGAGCTTTCAGATGCCACTCCAGAACAGTGTGGTCTTCAGTAGTGCCTGAATCACATCTGCCAGTCCGGCATTGGCTTGAGCAGCACTAGATGTTTATGTTAAAGCAACTGGTGTGATCCCTAATAACCAACACAGTGCACAATTCAGCAACGAAGCAAGTGGGACCTTCCCCAGGAAGCTTGTGGCACCAGCACTGGGTGCTTGTTTTGTTTCATTTTGTCTAAAAGACAAACCTGTTGTATAATATTCACCTGAGTAACTCATAGCTGGAGACTCTTGGAAACACCACTCAAGGAAAGGATGGCGCCTGTAGGTAGTGTCGCGTCTACACTTCTCAACATCTCCATTTTGGTGAATCATATCCACTATCTCCTGTGTCCATGTGGTACCTGCAAATGTCAGTGTTTAGATGTTTCCCTCAGCGGTAGCCAAGAGGCTCTTCTGCTAGGGAGGTGAAAGCTAGAAGGAAGGACTCCATACTAAAGGAGGAAGGAACAGCACAGAAGATGATGGACAAAGCGGAAAGAGAATAATGCAAGAAAAATGCATAATTAGGAATACAAAGCACAGTTTCAGGCATTCCATTTTAGACAGGCTGCTTCTTGCTGACAGCAAAAACCCCCACCCCCACATCAGTAATGAAAAAAGCTCCGAGATAAACTCACTATTATTTGGGGATTGTATTATTTGCAGAGAAGAATGAAATTCCCTCCTCCCAGTTTTCATACCTCACTAAAATACCTCAGGTATTTCAACATTTGTTTTCATCCTGAATTTGAATCAAAAAATGAAATACCTAAACTTGGAGTGAGTAAAAATGTCATACAGGTAGAAAATATAAAAAAGTGGCAGATACAACATAATGTCAAATGGACTCAACTTTATGTCTTTTCAGTTCAATGGCTGAGAGGTTTTAATCCAGGCTGGATAAAATAATGTGGTTTTGTTTTCAGTATACAGGAAATACATAAAAAGTTTTCAGGTTTTACAAAAAGAAATTATTTTGGTTTTGTAATAGTTTCATTTTTCCTACTTTAAAAAATACTTAAAAATTCCTGCTAACTCAAGTAATTATTTTTTTTTTGTGATCATCAAATGTTTCCAAATCCATTCCTGAATCCCCTAAACTCAACACGCTTTTATTCTTCCAGGATTAATATTGACGTTTGTTGTCCATTGTTTTCATGTGTAGTAAGTATAAAGGGTCTGATCAAGAGGAGAAATAGTATTGAGCTAAGTGGCCAATCGAATAAAATATCAGAGAGCTAACGTTAATTGTGGGTATTTTATTTCATTGGCTGAAATTATTAAGTGAATTTCTTTTTATTTCATAAAAATAAAGAACCCATTTCCAGAAATCAGTGTAAAACCCCAAATACATAACACAATCCATAGTTGTTCTGTGAGTTTCTGTTATTTCTTAGTAATGGTAATTTTTACGAGGCTTTGTTAAGTCATTACCTATAGGTGGAAAACTTGTATTGTTGCCATTAATATATATATATGTTATCTAAACCAAAGGAAACATTGAAGTATAGGTAATTAGACTTTGACCTTTTGAACTTCATCAATAATATATGGTTGTTACTTCTGCCAAAGAAGTCAGAAGTGACTAGTCACAGCCGACAGACCTTCAGGACTTTAAAATACGTCTGGTTTGGGATTAAACAAGAATCAGTCACATTAGAAAAACATAATTTTCAGTTCCAACAATAAGCACTATCCCAAGCTTTTCTGCTCTGTTTCCTACCCACACCAACCTGCTTTTGCATAGGTTGCGATGAGCAGATCGTCAGGTCTGGCTTTGAACTTCCACACTTGGTCCCATATGCTGCATATTGTTTTTGTCAAGGGGATACCTTCCACCTCACTTATCTCAGCTCGGGACACTGTCAAATCTTCCATTTTATCCAGGGCCATTGAGCACTGCATGAAGAAGGAAAGGCTTGGAATTAACATGGTTGCCCTGAAGAGCAAAATTTCCTCATCCATTCTTGATGTCTCTTTTATTGACTGAATTCTGTGTCCTCTGATTTCTTTGGCTGTGATTTGCCCTATCTGTATCCATCTATAACTTCCTTAAAGCTGGATCTCATTTTCAGAAATGCTTGGTATGTTGCTGGTGGTGGTTCTCAGAATGTCTAAAAATCACTCTGTGTACTCAGACACAAAAAGAGAAAAACACCACAAACTATTATTCCCATCTTCAAACATTTTGCCAAACATACTTATGTAAAAGTCTGACTAAGTACGTGGCTTTTGAAAGGCAAGAAGAAGTAATAAGAGGTGTGGTTCAAAAGAAGGCAGAAAAGTCGGCATGCAGGACTCAACGCTTCTTAAAGTTAACAGGAACACCTGCTAGCACCCTTCGGGCTTCATACTCACAGAAAGATCTGCAGGGCTTTTCTGCTTTTCATTCCTGGAGCTTTTCACTCTTAGAGCTCTTTGCTGTACACTGAAATTTGTTGCAGATAAATAAACTGAACTAGATAGATCATTAACTAAAGGTTGTTAGACTTTAATTATTTTAATCGATCTAGTTCAGTCTATTGCCCAATGTACAGTTTTACAGGGTCTAGTTATTGACTTCTGGATTTCTTTCAAGAAGGCCATTACCTTCAGAGCTCCTGGTCAGAAGACATTTCTGCTTAAAGGGAAGCTACAGAAATCATCTCAACTGAAAACATCAGCCAGAAAAAACAAAAGACACTTCAATCCCAACAGCAAACATTGCCAAAATATTTCCTTTCGTTTCCTTGTTTACTCTCACCTGATCTCACACAGAGTCAGTCGAGCATAGCGAGAGGTTGGGTTGGTGGCTGGGCAATGACCCAAGAACTAAAAAAAAAAGAAGGAAAAAGAAACTTGCCAGATAATTTTTCCTGCTTGAATGTCTTCAGTCCTTGGCTGTACTGATGACTGTGCACCCGCTTAGGTCTTCAGGCAGAAGTAGGGTAAAAGCTTGGGTGGAGTTTCCATTCCTCCTATGAGCGTGAGGGGAGCAAAGGAGGAGGGACAGCAGCAGCCAATGTCTCAGCAGTTTTTTCTGGGCTTGGTTTATGAACCAAGCCTTTTTAGTCTTGTGAAGGAAAACCACTTTGATTTCTCATCTGGTAGAAGGTGTCCCTGCCCATGGCAGGGGGGTTGGAACTAGATGGTCTTTAAGGTTCCTTCCAACCCAAACCATTCTGTGATCTATTCTATGATCTACTATCTAAAGTACGATTCTTTACTGGCAGCAACATTAAATGTCGGTCAGTAGCCCCAGCAAGATTATTTTGCCTTGTCTCTGATGTTGTCAGCGGTCTTGGATAACTCATTTTCTTACTAATCTAAATTGCAAAATAGTTTAATATTTGTTAGTACCTGAGATCAATGGGACTGAATGAATTAAAAGGAACTCAGTCCCATTTGCACTATGTACTGTTGTTTAACAGATGTCTAAGGGTTTGTTTCACCACTGGGGCCAGCCATTTATGGTTGATAGCACTTACTAGACAGGTTCACTTCTTAACTAGTCTGGGATTAGAGGGTTAGGCATCACTGTGTGTGAGGTAATGTTTCTTTGTAAGATTTATGTTCCTATCTATCTTTAAATCTACATGAGATACTGGGAGAGATAATGCCGTGCCCCAGACTAGCCGCAAACAGCATAGGAACACTATCTAACGTTAAAAGTATGCCAGTGACACTTTCATATCTGGTTCCCAGCTGTTGCAGTCACGCTGAAATGTTTGGTTGCATCGGAAAAAGATGATTTTGGGCAAAAGGTAGGTCACTCCAGCTGAACTCAAGCAAGTTTGAATAGATTGTGTTCACAAAGGAAAATTATTTGGAAACAGTATTGCTGTCAGGCGTTGCTTCTGTCTTCTGCTGAAGGCATGCAAGCACTGTGAGTACTAGAGGTCCTTTCTGGTCATCCTCTGGATGGTCTGGCTACATTTATATCTAAAATGGCTTTCTGTAATATCAATTTTTTAAAGACATTTTGTTCATACTAATCAAATGCTGTTGTGGCCATCCTTGCAGTAACCCTACCCTGGCGTGGAGGGGTAATGAGCATGGCTAGTGGAGTCTAGAGAGTGACTCAGCTGACCAAACGTGAGCTGACTTGCTCTGCTGAGTCCATGAACCGTATGGATTAGCTCTTCGTTGACTGTGGGAGGAGCTTGGGTATCATGGTTGCAGAGACTCACTTATTTTTTAAAGCACAGGTGGGACATGAAGATGTTCTGCCCTGGAGGATGGGGGGTGAGGTAGGAGTGAGCTGGTGCAGGGCCCTTTTGGATATCAATAAGAAAGGCCTGACAAAAATTACTTAATAACTGCTTTAATAAGACAGAATAAGAGGAGGAATATAGACAGTGAGTAAATCTTGCATCCCTTCAGGTGCAGGGAGACTTGCGCTTGTGCAGCATCAGATGGAGCCCGGGTGGATTTTTCCCAGGGCATGCTGAGCAGGTCCTGTCCGAGGAGAGAAGCGCCTCCTTTTTGGTCATTCAAGCTATTATATAGTTTTCTTACAAGAAAACAGCCCTGTTCATGAAGGACGTTCACAGGAGAACTTCTTGTTGCCCTTTAGACAAAGGCCCGGCCAGGCAAGAGGCGTGATCACGTGAACCGAGTGGGAGCTGCCTGCAGGCCCCGGTTACCCTGAGCCCTGAGTTTATGCTGCAGCCACAAACCGTGCGGTTGATTGATCTGTGCAGCACAGGCTGTGCCTGTTCAGCTTCACTGTGATGTGGATCTCAACTCCACGATGCATAGTGGTCTCCGGGTCAGGATCGCCGCCTTCCACACCTTGATCCATGTACAGGCGATGCCTACTCACAAAACTCACAGCACAGAGGTAGCAGGTGCTCGTCAAGGGGCTGTGAGAGTCAGTGAATTAGTTCAGCATTCCCTGTATGATTTCAGGAAAAGTTCCCAAAGAATCGTGAAACAAACCAAGAAACTGAGAGGACTCCTTGGTGGGCTTTAAGCCAACCACTTGATTTTTCTGGCTCTGACAGTGTTTTTTTAGTGTGACCATTACTTTCAAGTTCTGTCATGGGAGGATTTGCTGTTATACACTCTGTGTTAAGCCCGTTCTGATTCTGTTTGTCCTCACACCTGCACCTGACAGTTCATTTGATGGTTTGAAATGGTGTTCATTCCCCTTTCAGTTACACAACCATCCTGATGATGCAGTAATCCCCAAAGCGCATCAGCTGGTGTGACTGAACAAAGAAAAACCCAAGGGCTGCTTATCAAGTGGTTCTCTTTTATTGCAGTTGTGAATTTGAGTAGCCTGTGAAAGGTACGCTGTGCCAGCTAAGCTAGAGCGAGGTCAAAAAACACTGCCTGCAGCTCTAAAACTGCTTTTGAAGTAGGCAATGGGTAATAGATTTCTCCTGTTGTGAAACAGGGAGGTGAGAGGCGAACTGGTCAGCCCAGGGACTGGGTTTCTGGCCTGGGATCATGCTTTACTGGGCCACTCCAAAGAAATACTAGGCACTCTCTGCAAAGAGCTTCCTCCAGGTTTCCATTGACCTTTTCCTGAGTGCAATCACACTGTTTTTTGGGTTTTATTTTTATTTTTTTAAGTAATTTATTTTGGTTTATATTATATTTTGGTTTATTTTGTATTTTATTTTAGCTTGATTGAAATCACTTAGATCTTTCAACGTGAAACTGGCATCTGTTCAGCAAAGGAAGTACAAAGGGAGAGTAGAGGTACATTTACTTTTGTCCTCATCTCACGCCCTTAAATCTACACATGGTAAGCAAACAAATTTTTGTTTATTGCCTATGAGTGTCTCATTTAGTTACAGGTAAAATTCCCTTTTTAGCACACAGCAGTTTGTAACAGCGACGGAGAGGTTCAGGATTGCTATTGCACGAGGTAACCAAGTCGCTGGAGTGGCTGCTCACCGTGCTGACAGCTGGGCTGGGCTGGGCTGGACTACCTCCTCCTCCAGTCGGTGTCAGGATGCTGCTGCCCTTTGACACAGTGTCGCCAGAGTTGGTTTGGGGATAATGGCACATTTGCACTATCTACTTACATACTTCTATTCAATGGTTTAAATTTACTACCCTTTCCTCCTAATTTTTCCTTGGCCTTGGCTGAAAAAACTGTAGTGGACGTCCTGGGGACGCTAGGGTCTTCGGTGGGTTCAGGGCTGTGTTAATACGTGCTGCCACTATGCTTCAGGGCTATCCATATCCACACCATGCTGTTCTTGACATTAATGGGACTACTTATCTGAGCAGCAGTGTCCAGTGTTACCAGAACATCTGAAGGGAGTTAAACAAACATAAACAGCACCACAGTGGTGTCAGAACTAGAAGAAAGCAGATGAATGAAGGACAGTTTTCTTCTGTTAGCCCTCCAGCCTCTGGAGTCAGGTTTATGTTCTTTTTTTGCTGTTCTTCAAGGGAGATCACCTTTAAAATCTCTTCTTTCACTCCTATTAAATATATCAGTTTTAGGTTTTCTAGCTTGAAAAAAAAAATGCAAAGAGATTATCTAAGAAGTGGAATATGTTTCCAATTACTGTCTGAAGCTTTTTTTTTTTTTTAATCATTAGTAGAGCATTTCTTATTGAAGATAATTCTGTTGTGAGATATCTGGCAAAAGGTTCTGTTTACTAACTAATTGAAAGCTCTAACATTTCTATATTAGCTCTTCTTACTCTCTTTGCAATGGGTGTTTCAGGGGTCATTTCTATAGAGAGAAAAAACATTTGAAAGAATATGGGTAACAGAAACTCACTGAATGTATTACGTCAGATATTGAAAACATCTGACAGAAATGTGTCTTGGAGAAGAAATCTGTTTCAGGCTAGTGGACATGAATAATACTCAAACAGTTTAATGACAGAGAAGGCTGCTTTTGTTCTAATTTTTATGTTGGATTTGAATATTTTTGCATTCAAAAT